GGGCTGTGCTGGAGACCCCCGCTTGCTGGCAAGCTGGGTGGCTGGCACTTTGTTTACAAAGCAACTGGCTTTCCCTCCACCTTCTCTGGGGGACAGGGGCTACTTTGCACTCTGTCTGGCCTGAGTTTTGCCACAGCCTTATCCTAAGCCACTTGGCTTCTAATCGTGGATCCATCCATCTAGCTCCTGGGGAAGGCCACAGCCTCCAAAGGGGAGGCTGCTTTTCAGGCATGCAGTGAGGGGAGGAGGCAGGCTTGGGCGCCCTGGGTCTCTCTGTGTGAAGAGCAGGCTCCCCTGCCCCAGCCCTTGCCCACCCTCTGTGGCAGGAGCCAGCGCTCTCCCTGACTGACTCGCGGGGCTGCAGACTTTGGGATGAGCAAGAGGGAAGTGCTTTGTGAGCTAAGTTGTGAGTTCGTTAAATAAGCAACAGGTGATAATAATAGCAGCTGTGCGCCAGCCGGGCTTTTGGGCATTTTATACGTCAGCTCATTTAATTTTCGCAACCTTGGGAAGTATGTAAAATTCTCCTGTTTTACCTATGAGGAAACTGAGGCACTGAGAAGTTAAACAACTTGCCCAAGATCACACAGCTGCGCGGTGGTGGAGCTTGGGCTTGAAAGAAGGAGCCCTGGGCTCCATTCTGCACGTGTGACTGGTAGGCTCCGTTAATCTAGGACTTCAGGTCCATGGATGGGCTTGAGGGGGCTCTGAACAAATTGAAGTTGTTGCTTTTTCCAGTATATGTACATGTGTGTGTGTGTGTGTGTGTGTTTTACATGCCATCCTTCAGTACCGTGAGAAAAAGACTTTATTTTTGGAGCAGTTTTAGGTTCGCAGCATAATCGAGAAGAAGGTACAGAGATTTCCCATATGCTCCCGCCCCCAGCGTGCACGGCCTCCCCACTATCGACTCGCCCCACCAGAGTGGTGCGCTCGTGACAACTGTTGGTCCTGCATCGACATGATGCTGTTATCGCCCAGCGTCCACAGTTTACGTTGGGGTTCACTGTTGGGGCCGTGCACCCTGTGGGCTTGGGCGAATGTAGAACAATGTGTCCACCACTGTAGCATCAGACACAGTACTTTCTTTTTTTTTTTCTTTTTGAGACAGAGTCTCACTCTTGCCCGGGCTAGAGTGCCGTGGCGTCAGCCTAGCTCACAGCAACCTCAAACTCCTGGGCTCAAGTGATCCTCCTGCCTCAGCCTCCCGAGTAGCTGGGACCACAGGCATGCACCACCATGCCCGGCTGATTTTTTTCTATATATTTTTAGTTGTCCAGATAATTTCTTTCTATTTTTTTTAGTAGAGACGGGGTCTCGCTCTTGCTCAGGCTGGTTTCGAACTCCTGAGCTCAACGAGCCACCCGCCTCAGCCTCCCAAAGTGCTAGGATTACAGGCGTGAGCCACCGCGCCCAGCCTAGACACAGTACTTTCACTGCCAACAAATTGCTCTTTGCTTCACTGATTCATCTCCCCAACCCCCAACCTCTGGCAACCATGCGCGGTTTTTTTTTTAAATGTGCATATTTTTTATATCTGAAAAATCTTGTCAGATTCCAACAGGGGTCCATGACCCCCAGATGCCTGGGCCTCAGTGGATTGCATCATTAACATGCTGATAGGCTGTTACTGTGAGAGCTGCAGGGCCAGCAACTGCAGCGCTCGGGCCTGCGGGGAGAGGGGTTTGGTGGCCGGCGTGGGCAGGGCACCGTCAGGGCATCCCTACCTCCCCACCACTGTGCTTCTGTCCTGGCCCCAGGCTGAGGGGTGGGGCTCGACTATGGCCACAGGCTGCCTTATCAGTGGCAAATGGAACACGGTGTACCTTGGGCGAAAGCAGGACCAGTCGCCCCAGGCTTCCTGGATCTGCCCAGGACACCTGCACCTTCTTGCCCTGTTCTCAGCTAGAATTGCAGGGAGTCCCTGGAAAGTGCTTCCTTATCTCCAAGCTGGGCATGTGCCATTCCCTCTTCCTACACCTGGCCAACCTTTACTTATTGTTCTGGTCAGCTCAGGTGCCACTTCCTCCAGGAAGCCTTCCTAGTCCCCCTTCCCCCCTCCAGAGGGGTTAAGTATCCCTCAGGTCTCCCAAACACCTTTCCCTGCCCCCACTGTAACAATCATCGCCTGTCCCCCTGCATTGTAGATGCCTGTTTTCTTGGCTGCCTCTGCTTCCCCAGGGTGTTGGCACATAGCAGGGACTGAAATGTAGAATATCAGAGGTGGAAGAGCCCCCAGAAATCATCTGCCCCAACCCCCCTCTAAAAGGCAGGAAGCGACGATAGGGTATGCTTGAGGTCACACAGTGCCTCATAGCAGAGCTGGGACCAGACCTGCTGTCCCAGCTGTCTCCTCATTTATCAGGCAAAAAGTGGAAAATGGAAATCACCCAGAGATAATCACTGTTAGTGCTTTTTTGTATTTATCACCAGTTTCTAGCCTATGCACAAAAATGTTTAAAAAAATGTGACCATACGTACAGTTTTATAAATGTTTTCCGCTTTTACAATATATATGGTAATTACATTTCTATGTCAGTGAACGTACTTCTCCGACATATTGTAAATGGCTGCCTAAGATTCCATCGCAGGCTTGCATTATAATTTCTAAAGACATTCCCCTATTGTCGGGCGTTTGCTATTATAAACAGCACTGGGATTCGCATTCTTGTGGGGAAATCTTTACACGCTTCTGCAGTAACTACCTCTAGGATGAATCCCTAGAAGTGCAGCTGTGGGTTCTGGGGCATTCTGTGCCCATGCGGAGCACACCATCTAGTCTTGGGGCTGGGAAGGAGTTCACAGATCTTTACCCCCAAGGCCAGGCCTGCGCCTCGCATTGCACCCTGGCTGCTGCAGCCCAGGCTCTCTCACCTTCCATTCTGGTCCTGGGGAGCTCTCCTGCTGGCTTTCAGCAGCTGCAACTGATAGAAAGGTGCCTGGATTGCTGGGGAACCTCATTCCCTGTGGCTTTGACTCATGTCTAAGGGAGACTGGAGGGCTGTGCTTGGGCTTGCTGTTTGGAGTGAGGGAGTTGGGGGATTTGGGGGGTGTGTGTGGGTCTTCATCAGCTCCTTCCGGTGAGATGTGTGCAGGTGGCATGGCCTGGGTCGGGGGTTCAGGCTGAAGGGGGAGGCTGGAACCCAGAGTTCTGGCTGCCAGGGTGGAAGAAGGCCCAATGCAGGGGAAGCTTCCCCACCTATCCCATGGCAAGCTGGGAATCCTCAGACAGGGTGTTTGGTCACTTGCTCTCCTGGGCTGCTGTGTGCACCTGTGGGCCCAGATCCCGAGGATGACAAATGCCTGGTTGCGTCAGGGGCAAATATGTCAGCTGCCATTTCTGAGTGTTTCCTGTGCCAAGCTCCTTAGACACGTTTATACAGTTGGCTCCTGGCCACAGTCGGTGCTACAGGGGTGGTGACGACCTTACAGATGAGCTCACTGGTGCTCGCGAGGTGCAATGACTCGCCTCTCGCACAGCCAGGGCATGGGTGCCCCACAGCCCTGGCTGTGAATTGTGCTTGGCTGCTTCTGCCAAAGACTCAGTCTTTTCATCTGTCAGATGGGGCTGCTGGGCCCATTCAGGGTGAGCAATGGATGAGGAAGCAAAGGGAAGATGGTGAGGACGTGGTGTTTCATAGTGTTTAGAATTCCACCTCTAGCTCTCAGGCCTTGCAAGTATTCATTGTCTCTCTTTGTCCTTCCTGCTTCTGGATTTTTCTTGGCCCAGTCTTGGACTCTGATAATAGCAACTACCATTTGTAGATGCCAGGTGCTGGGTACTACTCTACGTCCTTTATAAACAAAGTTTATATCCATCGTTAAATATCCAGCCTCTTGTGAGAATGGCTGCTGTTTATTTGCCACATTTCACAAATGGGGAACTGAGGCTCGGAGCAATTAAAGAGCTTGTCCCACGTCATGCAGCCAGTTTGGGCAGCACTACTTGACCGTGAGCCCACCTGGGTTAGGTCCAGTGTGTCCTCAGTCAGCTGATCCCCGAAGCCCTCGCTCTGACTCTCCTGTTCTCTCCACAGCCTCAGCCCCGCGGGCCCCACGGAGTGAGTGTCATGCGACATCCCCAGGCCTGCCCAGGGTCCTCTGGCCCACTGCCCAGACCCCCCAGGAGGCCCTGACGCCCTGGGGCACTTCTGCTCTGCACAGGACCACCAGGGGGTTTGCCATGGTGACATAAAGGGGCGCAGAGGAAGGAAGGAGCGCGACCAGCCTGCGGACTGCGCCCCTGGCTGGGGGGAAGGGCCAGGGGCCCGGATCCTCCACCCCCACCGCCCACCGAGGGCCTCGCTTCCTAAGTCTCTGTGAATTTCTGGGTCATTGGACGACTCTCGTGTCTCCTGTGTGGGGCCTTGGGGTGGCCAGGGCAGGCCAGGCCTCCGGTGGCCGAGGTCTCGGGGGCCAGGATGCCTGCCCTGGCGTGCCTCCGGAGGTTGTGTCGGCACGTGTCCCCGCAGGCTGTCCTTTTCCTGCTGTTCGTCTTCTGTCTGTTCAGCGTTTTCGTCTCGGCCTACTACCTATATGGCTGGAAGCGGGGCCTGGAGCCCTCGGCAGATGCCCCTGAGCCCGACTGTGGGGACCCGCCTCCCGTGGCCCCCAGTCGCCTCCTGCCACTCAAGCCTGTGCAGGCAGCTGCCCCTTCCCGCACGGACCCGTTGGTGCTGGTGTTTGTGGAGAGCCTCTACTCGCAGCTGGGCCAGGAGGTGGTGGCCATCCTGGAGTCCAGCCGCTTCAAGTACCGAACAGAGATTGCGCCGGGCAAGGGGGACATGCCCACGCTCACAGACAAGGGCCGTGGCCGCTTCGCCCTCATCATCTATGAGAACATCCTCAAGTACGTCAACCTGGACGCCTGGAACCGGGAGCTGCTGGACAAGTACTGTGTGGCCTACGGCGTGGGCATCATTGGCTTCTTTAAGGTACGCAGGGAGCAGGGTCCCCGAACAGTTCAGAGCCCGTCTCCACACTCGTGAGTTGAGTGCCAGAGTTCTCATCTGTGAAATGGGTGTAACTGCAGCAGCTACCTGCCAGGGTTGTTGGGAAAGTTAAATGGGTACATGCAAAGCACTCGGAGCGCACAGTGAGTGCTTTGTAAGTATTAGGGGAGCACAGTAGAGGACAGCCTGCCATACATGGGGTCCTGCACACAGCAGGCACTTGCCTAAAGGAGGCTCTAGGGGTGGGTGCAAGATAGGGGCATGCTCTGCTAGGTACCCCAAAACCGCCATGGCAGTCCTCCCCAAGGAGGGCTTTTGTCCCCATGTTGCAGATGAGCAAACCAGGGCTTAGGGGGGTTTAGGTGACTAATCTGAGGCTATGCAGCCTATAGGTGGGGAAGCTGAGATTTTAACCCAGACGTAGACGGTTTGGGCTATCCATGCCATGCTCGTTCTTCTTGGCTGCAGCCGGGTGTGGAGTTTATGCACCTCCTGACCCAGAGCCATTTTGCACTGGGAGAAAGAGGAGAGAAATCCCACTGGGCAGGTGGGGAGCTGCTCTGGGGTCCTTGCTGAAAGGGTGTCATGGAGAGACTCTGTCCTTGGGGAGGGGAGGTTGTGAACAGTAGGTGGGGCACCCAGAGGCTGTGGTTGGAGAACTGTGACCTGCAAGATGAAAGCAGGTGCTAGCTGGGACTCTAGCTGTGTGCTCTGGAGGGCATTTCTTCCTTCATTCTACCAGTATTTACTGAGCGCTTTCAGTGTTCCCGGTCCTGTGCTAGGCACTGGGGACACAGGGGTGATCAGAATGGACAGATTCCCTGCTCTCATGGAGCTGGCATTTCGGTGCAGTGGGAGTGGGGTGGGTGACAGGCAGTGAACAAATAAACCTAGGCTGTGGCAGGTGGTGATTAATACAAAAGGAAACAAAGCAGGGAAAGGGCACGGGGGTAGTGGGTGTGGGAGCTTGACGCTATTTTTGATAGAACAGCCAGGGAAGTCGTCTTTGATAAGTGACCTGAAGGAAGAGCGGGGAGGAGCCATGTGGCTGTCTGTGCCAAGAGCCCTCCAGGCAGAAGAAACAGGAAGTGCACAGGTCCTAAAGCAGCCTCTTGCTTGGCATGAGCGAGGAGAGGAGGAGCAGGAGATGGGTATGGGTGGCCCATGCCCGCCGTGGGGTGCCCACTCTTGCCGAACCTTCCTGGCACACGGCGCACTGGGCTCTGTGCTCGGTGCTGGGAGGGGGCTGGTGTAGTGAGGGTTTCTCACGGCATGTTCTTTCACGCACTAATACAGCAGGAAGCCCTGCCACTAAAAAGTGCCGTGAGCCAAGAGCGAAGCCCCCTCGCAGTCCTGCAGTAGAGCAGCCCGTTGAGATTTGTTCCCCAACTGGCTTGATCACAAAACCCTTTCTTTCACAGAGCACCCTCAGGGAACGCTGGCCTGGTTTATGGCTTTATAGTGGCATCCAGTCAGACTGTCTCCACTGTCTTTCTCTTTTCTCCTGGACTCTGTACTCTCTCCTGCCGTGAACTTCATTAGATTTGGTTCAGAGCCCCAGGCCCGGGACGTGTCAGGACGGCCGCCGTTTATTGCGTGTTTGTTCGGTGCCACGCACTATCTACGTGCTTTACGTGCATTAACTCCCTTCACGCCAATGAACTGTCCTGCACGGCAGGTGAATCGCATCCTGATTTAAGAGAGGTGAAGGAATGTGCCCAAGCCCACGTCTCTAATAAATATCGATCTAGGATTTGAACCCAGGCAGTCTGGCTCCGGAGGCCTTAGCCTTCACCACTGTGTGACGAGTCCAGGAGCCTCACGTACCGTTTACTTAGGGGAAGTTGCATCACAGGCTACACGCAGCGCACAGTGCTCCCGCAGTCTCTGGGACCGGGCCGAGGGCTGCGGGCCTTGGGCAGTTGATACAATGAGGCTTGGGCCCTATCTAGCCCCAGTTCCTTGCTCTACAGAAGGTGAACAGAGGCCCAGGAGGGGCAGGGACATGCTCAGAGTCTCACTGTGGGGTCAGTGGCAATTGCAGGACTTCGTGCTCTTCCTACCCTATTGCATAAGACAAGACCCCTCCTTGGTTTGGAGCAGCAGCCTATGCTTTTCTGTTCCATTGCATGCCCCCTGGTGGTCAAGGCGCGTCTTTTGGCTCTTTGCAAGACCAGCCTTGGCGCTGCGTGTGGGGCTTGCCAGATGGGGAGTGTTTGTGGACTCAGGGATCTGGAGACTCTCATTTTCCTCCAGCTCTGGGTTCCCAAGGCAATGTGAGAGCAAGGGCTCAAAAGTCCAGAAAGGTTCCAATCTTCCTGTCACTTAGTAGAGTGACTTTGGGCAGATACTCAACCCATCTGTAAACGGGGCCAATTACAACCCTTGCCTCACTGGGCTGTATTGAACATAAAACAAGATAGCAGGCAGGAAGCACTAAGCCCAGTGCTTGGTACCTGGAACCAGGTGATAGCAGCCAACATGCTTGTCATCGCCAAGTTCAGCAAACGCAGCAGTGGTAGCACCTTGGCTGTCTTGTGGCCCTGACCAATATGTGACCCTGTGAGGTCCTGCGAGTTGGGAATTGGGTCATCCTCACCTGGAGCCCCAGTTCTTGGCACTGTCACCCCTCAGCCTTGCAACTGCAGGTGCCCTGGGGCCGAGCACACCTGGCGGAGGTCTGGCAAAGGCTACCTGGCCGCTTTCCTTGAGCACTTACTGCGCGCCAGACACTGAGCTCGTTGCTTTTCAGGCGCTATCATGTTTAATTCTCACAACTACCCCATGAAGTAGGCGCTTCATTTTCAGGTAAGGACCTGAGGCTCAAAAAGTTAAATGGCTTTTCCAGAGTGACATAGCTACAGATTGAGTACCCCTTATCTGAAATATTTGGGACCAGAAGTGCTTTAGATTTTGGAATATTTACATTCTACTTACTGGTTGAGCATCTCTAATCTGCAAATCTGAAATTTGAAATGCTCCGGTCAGCGTTTTCTTTGAGCATGACCTTTGAGTATCATATTGGTGCTCAAAAATTTTGGATTTTGGGGAATTTGAATTTTCAGATTAGGGATGCTTAATCTGTAGTAGGTCATAGAGCTAGGATTTCATAATCAAGCTTGCTGCTTCTAACCCAATATGAGAGCAAACTGACCGATGGGCAGCCTCAGGCCCGGAGAGGAGATGCAGGGTCCCCAAGGTCATCCAGCTGATTAACAGTTCAGTCTGTGCTAGGTGAGACCACTACCTCCCCATTCCCAAATCAGGGCTCTTCCTCCCTCTGCCTGAGTGACCCCATTGGAAGACTTGGTGTCTCCTGAGTGGGTCCTCAGTGGTGAGGAACGGGAGGGACTTCCTCTCTGAGCATGTCCCTGCTCTTCCTGGGGTGAGGCCTGCAGTGGGGGCCGGCCTTGGCCATGCCAAAGCTCCCCACTCCTTTCCCTGGCTGGGGTGGGCCGCCAGTGACTTGGCTTTCTCCCTTCCTCGATGGCCAGGCAGCTGGCTGGGCTGCGAGCACCTGGCAGTCAGCTGAGGGTTGGGACTTTGAAATGGGATCCCTCAGCACCCGTGGTCCAATGTGGCATCCCGGGCCTCAGCAGGTGATAGGCAGGGCCTGAAATGTCTCTGGCCCCCACCGCTTTTGCCCCCACGTAGCCTGAGCAGTTCCCATTCTTGGCCAGTGCTGGCTTGGGGTCATGGGATGCCTGGAGGTAGGGGAGGTAGCCTCTGGCTGTGCACTGGGCCTCACCCCCAGTCTGGCTTGGGACAGGGTGGGGAGCTGGCAGGTACTCCTGTGTTTGGAGAATGATGTGCAGCCTCCTCATTGCGGTTTACAAGGTCAGGGCACTGCAGAGCCTCTCTGGGAGTCAGAAAAAAGCACTTCTGCGTGGAGATTAGTAAAAGGCACCTTTCTGGACAGGTGCAACTCTGCACCTGGGCACAAGGCTCAGCTGAGATTTTACCCTACTCACCACCCAGCTGCATGCCCTCCTACAGTGCTCCCCGCCCTCGTGCTCTCCCCTGAGTAGCTCTCCTTAGGGCCCTGCACATGACCCTGTCTCCCTCTTCAAACTTATTTTGTGCCTTTTGTCCACTCTTGCTTTGCCCCACCCCACATGGATCTTTTAAAAATGCAAATTGGAACCTGTCACACCAGGCTTCAGAACCCTTTGATGAAGTCTTTGATGGCTTCCCGCTGCCACTTCAAACTTCTAAGGTCCTGCTGGTCTGGCCCCAGCTGACGTTTCTGCCCTATCTCCTTTCCCTCTTGATCACTCTGCTGGCTTCTTGCTATTCCTTGATCATGCTGAGGCCTTTCCTACCTCAGGGCCTTTGCACTTGCTGTTCTTGGAACTTGGTCCCCACCTTTCCCTTAGTTGGTGCTTACTTGTTCTTTAAACGTTAGCTTAAAAGTCCCAGGTATAGTCCGTTGCCTCCTGAGCCAACTAACTGTGCCCAGCAAGGTACTCTTCCACAGCTACGCAGCTCCTCTGTGCAGCGTGTGCTACACTGCGGTTCCGTGTTTATTCCTGTGATTTTTTCATGGATGCCTCTCTCCCCTGCTTGCCTTTAAGGATTATGAGGGCAGGGGCCATGCCTGTTTTTTCTCACTGTATCAGTGGCACTTAATACAGTGTCTCGCCCAGTGAATAATTGTGGCATGAACAGTTGAAACCTGTATGGAACAGCTTTCATGTGCCAGGCACTGGGGACCTGTCTGTTCCTCTTTCATTCTTTTAAAAAGCCCGGTTACTCATCAAACTGTGTGTTCCCACTGGGTACAAAGCCTGTGCCAGGCACCAGGGGTCCAAAGGTGGAAACAACATAGTTCCTGCCCTCAAGGGGTTGCAGGCTGGTGGGAGAGAGACCCTGAACAGATAATGCAGCAGTTGTGGTGAGATGCTGCCGCTGAGGCTTTAAAGTGGTCTCAGCATCAGGTGTCGGGCAGGTGGGGGAGGGAGGAGGAGATGGGTATATTCACACCTAATGGGTACAGTGGGCACTGTCTGGGGCGTGAGCACACTTGTAGCTCTTACTCAGGCGGTGCAAAGGCAATATATGTAACCTAAATGCTTGTACCCCCATAATACTCTGAAATAAAAAAATAAAATGAAAGAAAGAAGGAAAGGAAGAAAGAAAGTGGTCCCAAGGAGTCCAGTGCAGAGAAGAGGGCATGTGCATTGGGTTTTGAAGGATGAGCAGGAGTTTGCTAGGCCAAGATGACAGAATGGAACAAGGACAGATTGTACCATATCCAGAGGCAGGGAGCTGGGAGGGTGAGGCAGCGCATGAGGGAACAGGCCATGAGCCTAGGGAAGAGGAGATGGGCAGCTGTGGGCACTGTCTGCAGATCCCCAGGGAGCTGGGCAGCAGCAGGAGAAGGGAGGCAGAGACCTCACCATGGCCAGCAGTGACTGGGTGGGCATGGGAGCTGGTCTCCTGTGACGGGGTGGCCTTGGAGGCTTTAGGGAGATATGGGGAATTTGCGATAACTGTGGGCCTCCTTCAGCCCCCAGCAGACACCTCCTCTTTGAGCTTCTATTAATACGTTGGCATCCATGTAAGATTTCTCCTGAAGAAAGGGTTATGTGGCCAAAGCCAGTGGGGCAGCCCCATGCAGCTGAGCCTGGTGGTTAGGTATGTGGGCACCAGGGCAAGGCCTCCCGCCTGCGAGTCATGGCTCCTGCTGACCGCTGTGCTCCTAAGGGCAGTGCTCCCTCCAAGCCTCAGTTTCCTCACTGTGAGGCGGAATAACCAGGCCGATGCGAAGACTGAATGAGCAATTGATCATGCCACAGGCCCTGTTCTAAGCACTTCGCCAGCATTAATACTGGTCATCCTCCACCACCCTAGAGGTATTTACTGTTCTTAGCCACATCTTACAGCAGAGGAAACTGAGGCACAGAGAGGTGACATAACTTGTCCAAAAGCCAGGCAGTCTGGCAGAGTCCATGCTCTCAACTGCTAGACTTTCCTCTGTGATTTAGCCTCTCCAGGCCTCAGTCTCCTCATCTGTAAAATGGGTATGACAGCAGCGCCTCCGTCATGGGGTCACTGGGAGGATTGACAGCATTCCTGCATGCAAAGTGCACGGAACCCAGGGCCAGGCTTTGGTAAGTGAGTCATATGTGTTCGCCAGTATATTATCGCGGGAGGGCGGAGCACAGGGCCAGGGGTATGGCGAGCCCTCCATGAATGTTGGTGAACATTGTTGATGTCACTGTTGTTGGTCTACATGTGAGATTCTGTGTCCCTTGGGTTCTGGATCTGATGGCTCTTCCCCCTCCCCACTCCTGCCACCCCCCCTGGCTGCAGGCCAATGAGAACAGCCTGCTGAGCGCGCAGCTCAAGGGCTTCCCCTTGTTCCTGCATTCGAACCTGGGCCTGAAGGACTGCAGCATTAACCCCAAGTCCCCGTTGCTGTATGTGACGCGGCCCAGCGAGGTGGAGAAGGGCGTGCTGCCTGGCGAGGACTGGACCGTGTTCCAGTCGAACCACTCGACCTATGAGCCAGTGCTGCTGGCCAAGACACGCTCGTCCGAGTCCATCCCGCACCTGGGCGCCGACGCCGGCCTGCACGCCGCGCTGCATGCCACCGTGGTCCAGGACCTGGGCCTCCATGACGGCATCCAGCGCGTGCTGTTTGGCAACAACCTCAACTTCTGGCTGCACAAGCTCGTCTTTGTGGATGCTGTGGCCTTCCTCACGGGGAAGCGCCTCTCGTTGCCTTTGGACCGCTACATCCTGGTGGACATCGACGACATCTTTGTGGGCAAGGAAGGCACACGCATGAAGGTGGAGGATGTGAAGGTACGGCCGGGGGTGCCAGACCGGGTAAGGCAGGGCCTTAGGAATGTCAAACCTTCATGTAGCCGTCATGACTTCTGGTCTGTGTCTCCCCTGTGCTGTTAGTTGTTTAAAGTACAGTCCCACCCCTGCTCCCTACCCTGGCCAGTTGGTTTTTATAAATTGTCTTATTAGAAGCAAGTGTTACTTAAAATTTTATTTCAGTATTGAATATAGAGGAATTTCGCACCTGGGCTGCAGAGTTTAAGTGCGTATCTATGGAAGGAGAGACCCAGTCACCGAAACGCAAAGATGGGGGCTGTGCAGTGTTATTTATTCGCCTTTTAATTTAGATACGGTTTTTAACTCTTTTTTTTTTTTGAGACAGAGTCTTGCTCTGTTGCCCGGGCTAGAATGCCATGGCATCAGCCTAGCTCACAGCAACCTCAAACTCCTGGGCTCAAGTGATCCTCCTGCCTCAGCCTCCCGAGTAGCTGGGACTACAGGCATGCGC